AGAGAGAAAGAGAGAGAGAGAGAGAGAGAAAGAGAGAGATAAGATATATATATAGATATATAGATATGATATTTATATGTATATTTATATATAGAGAGAGTGGGAGGGAGAGAATAGATTAACTATCTAGCGAGATATACATATCTAGATAACACAAACACACCCACTGCCCTGTTCTGCAAGCACACCCTCTTTACCCACGGACCTCTGTACATACCAATGAACACCAAAACATACTTTGCCAAAGCAAATATTCTGCATTTGCACCAGTCCCATGTGAACATGACATCTGTCTGAATTTGTAGAGCACATCTCATGAATGTAGCAGCACCATTTAAATGTTTCATAACACAAAATATAAATGAAGAGTATATAGGATTACAATCAGACAGGCCAAATAAGAAACATGGTCTTCAACATGAGTTCATGTTTATTTTCTATTTTATTGTGTCAGCTTGAAACCATACAACCATGTAGTGTAGTCAAACAGGCATATGCATGACGAATCAAATCCCAAACAATCCATGAACCAGTAAGTGACACGTCTTGGTTGCACTTCATTTTATTGACCACTGGATGTCCTACTCGAGCACTGGGTCATTGAAGCCTCCAGTAATGAACCATTTTTTTATACTGTGTCGAAGCTTCAACAAAGCATCAATCAGCCATCATTGCAGGCAGTGTGGCTATGGTCCACTCTTGGCTTTATAACGGAAATGCAATTTACATTAGCTTTGAATTAGCTGTCTGATATTTAACCGTGTAATTAAACTGACAGTTAAAAAGAGTGTCCAAACCTTTACCTAGACCACCGTGAAGTTGGCCCCCCACCCAACGAAAAATAAGGCCAAAATGGTGTCATTCGTTTGTGCTGTTACGGTATTTGAGATATTACAGCTTTCATTTTTTGACTCATAAAATACATTTTGATATTCTGGCAGCACACACTTTTTTCACAAACCAGCACAAACGAACGACACCACTTTTGTCCAATTTGGAGCTATCTGTGGGGCTGAGTGACCTGTGGATGACCCACCAAAGATATTGTTTAATATCTCAAATACCGTAACAGCACAAATGAATAACACCATTTTGGCCTTATTTTGCGTTGGGTGGGGGGCCAACTTCATGGTGGTTTTACCCAGTGGTCTTATTTTTAAACTTACAGGTTGTTTCTGTACAGGCGTTGTGTGGTCGGCTGCAATCGCGGGTCCTTCTATTGGAGGTGGCATTCGGTCAGCTAGCAGGAACAGGCGGCGAATTAGCATTGGCTAACGCTTTAACATGGTAGGGGCAGTGCAGAAGCTAGTCGCTAAAGTACCTACACTGGTAGGCGGTAAGTTAATTTGTCGTGTTGTTAGTCTTGACATGTATCCAATAAATGGGAACTGAATCGTAGGTAACATTAGTAACCTAAAATCTTTGTTGACAAGACGTACGCACTCCGTTGCTGTGAGTTACACACACTCACCAGTTGAATGAAAATTGGATTTATCGTTCACGGTAGCTAGCGTTAGAGTTATCGACATTAACGTAGACACAGTTGAAATTTTACGTTGCGGTCCTTGGTTCTATCATTATCTGACCAAATAGTTTTGTTGATAGCCAGCATGGATGGCTAGTATTGTCAACAGCCAGGGCAGCTCACTTTAGCCACAGCATAGAGAAGTAACGTTAGCACTAGAAAGCTACAATAATAATCGCATTGTTTTTCTCTCTCAGCCGCTGTCACCTATTCCAAACCTCAACTAGCAACCTTCTGGCACTATGCCCGTGTTGAACTTGTCCCACCTACCCCTGCCGAGCTCCCCAAGGCCATCGGGGAGGCCAAAAACGTCATCAAGGCTTTCCAGACAGGACGACTTGGTCAAACCACTGTAAAGGTACTTACCGATCCAGACAGATATTGTCTCCACCAATTGGTTCAAAATATATCAAAAACTGTAGTGACATTCCATGTCACTTGTATATGTATATGTATCTTAACTTTAGACCTAGGTAATACATTATCTATTAGAATGTACGTTCTAATTAAGGAGAAGTGGAGACTGAGATCACAATAAACAAGGAAACACGTTGTGCTGTGTTGCCATAAGGAACTGGTTCCCATGACTAGCTGTTAACCAGTATGCAGTTTGCTGAACAAAATAGTTTTCATCAGTTCTCAGATTATTAATGGTGTGCCTAAACCTGAAAAAGTTAATTTAGATGACCCAAATATTATCCACTTATCCCAAACAGAATCTAGCCATGCACATTGTTTTAGTTTTATGTGCCAAAGTTGTCAGATACAGTGCCTTGAAAAAAGTATTCATACCCCTTGAACTTTTCAACATTTTGTCACGTTACAACCACAAACTTAAATGTGTTTTATTGGGATTTTATGTGATAGACCAACACAAAGTGTTGCGTAATTGTGAAGTGGAAGGAAAATGGTACGTGATGTTCAATAGTTTTTAGAAATAAAAATCTGAAAAGTGTGCTGTGCATATGTATTCAGCCACCTTTACTCTGATAGCACAACTGTAAACCTACCAAGACATGGCCGTCCACCTAAACTGACGGGCCGGACAAGGAGAGCATTAATCAGAGGAGCAGCCAAGAGGCCCATGGTAACTCTGGAGGAGCTGCAGAGATCCACAGCTCAGGTAGGAAAATCTGCCCACAGGACAACTATTAGTTGTGCACTCCACAAATCTGGCTTTTATGGAAGAGTGGCAAGAAGAAAGCCATTGTTGAAAGAAAGCAGTAAGAAGTCCCGTTTGCAGTTTGCCACAAGCCATGTAGGCGACACAGCAAAATGTGGAAGAAGGTGCTCTGGTCAGATGAGACCAGAATTGAACTTTTTGGTCTACATGCAAAACGCTTCATGCGGCGGAAACCTAACACTGCACATGAACCTGAACACATCATCCCCATTGTGAAACGTGGTGGCATCATCATGCTGTGGGGATGCTTTTCTTCAGCAGGGACAGGGAAGCTGGTCAGAGTTGATGGGAAGATGGATGTAGCTAAATACAGGGTAATCCTGGAAGAAAATCTGTTAGAATCTGCAAAAGACTAGGGATTGGGGCGGAGGTTCACCTTCCAGCAGGGCAACAACGCCTAACACTGCACATGAACCTGAACACATCATCCCCATTGTGAAACGTGGTGGCATCATCATGCTGTGGGGATGCTTTTCTTCAGCAGGGACAGGGAAGCTGGTCAGAGTTGATGGGAAGATGGATGTAGCTAAATACAGGGTAATCCTGGAAGAAAATCTGTTAGAATCTGCAAAAGACTAGGGATTGGGGCGGAGGTTCACCTTCCAGCAGGGCAACAACGCTAAACATACAGCCAGAGCTACAATGGAATGGTTTAGATCAAAGCATATTCATGTATTAGAATGGCCCGGTCAAAGTCCAGACCTAAATCCTTTTGAGAATCTGTGTCAAGACTTAAATTGCTGTTCAGACACTCTCCATCCAATCTGACTGAACTGGAGCTATTTTGCAAAGAAGAATGGGCAAAAATTGCAGTCTCTAGATGTGCAAAGCTGGTAGATGAAATACCCCAAAAGACTTGCAGCTGTAATTGCAGCGAAAGGTGGTTCGATAAAGTATTGACTCAAGGGGGCTGAATACATATGCATGCCCCACTTTTCAGATTTTTATTTGTAAAAAATCTTGAACACCACATATCCTTTTCCTTGCACTAAACAGTTATGCAATACTTTATGTTGGTCTGTCACATAAAATCCCAATAAGATACATTTAGGTTTGTGGTTGTAATGTGACAAAATTTTGAAAAGTCTCAGAAAATATCACGGTTTCACGGCATTACACAATTACTGTTATCAGCTACAACGACCCTCAGAAGAATTAAAAGAAAGGGTCACTTTTTATTGTAAGTGACTGTGCCAGTTCATTGAGCTGGATTGCAGCATTAAGTTGTCCCTAAAGAATAAACAGAGTTATAAGGATAATAAAAAACAGCATATAACTATAACATGTTATATAACTACAGCATGTTAGTTTTCATGTTGGTACCATTGGTTCAGGAAATATTCACATCCTTTACGCAAAAGTACTAATATCACATTGTAAAAGTAGCCTACTTTATTACAAAAAGGTTTCTTACAAAAGGTCTTGCATTAGATAACATAAGTAAAAGTATTAACATAAAACTAAAAGTATTAAAAGTATTAGTAGACTACTCAATGCAGAAAATGTTATACTGTACAGTATATTATTAAATTAACAGCCATGATGTAAAAGTAGGATTTGACTGTTGTAGTTGGCTGAGGTGAAGCTCTGCTGAACTATTATGTATCGAAGTGCAACTATTGATTATTTCCCTTAATCTTGGATTAATCTGCTTATTTTTTTTCCATTAATCAGTTGACTGGTTTGTAAAACCTCTGACAATAGTGAGAAATGCCATCACAATGCTCTAAGCGATGATCAAAATAGTTAATTTATTATAGGTGTGAATGAGTGTAGGCAAACCCTCTCTCTCTCTCACACACACAAACACATTTATGTGAGCTGGGGAAAGTTTGTGTGTGTGTGTGTTTCTGGGGTCAGATCAAGATCAGTGCGAGTTCTTTTGTAAGTCAGAGATCAGCAAACAGACAATATGGAAAATTATTTCGATAGCCCATTCTATAACAGACGTTTGTTGTTTGGGATTAAAGTTATAAACGGGACACACACTTTGATCTGCACAGAAAGATGGTGTTCTCGAAGGTGTTATTTTTTTGAGATATCCAAAGTAAGCCTGCGCTGCTGATTTAAATTTCTTTGTCGCTCTATGGAGTTTGGTGATATCAGCCTGCTTCTCTCTGCCATTTGTCCACTGCATGTGTGTGTGTAGTGCCCTTTGCAGAGTCTTGACATGCGGTTGGGGAAGAAAGGTGCACACACATTGCATTTTTTCTTTTTTCTAATACGAGTAATACGCAAATGTGCATGGTATGATAACGATCAATTCTCATACCATGGTTTATTGTGAAACTGGTATACTGCTGCAACCCTAATGTGAACAGACTTGCAACACTGTCAAGTGTAATTGGGAAAATGTTTCCAGAAATATCTCACAAAAAACAGCCAAATCAAGTGAAATAATCTGCAAGAAAAAAAAAAGATTTTTACTTAAAGCTTCAACCATTTTAAATTGGTCACCTCACAGCAAGAAGGTTCTGGTTTTGAGCACAGGCCGACCCGGGTCCTTTCTGTGTGGATTTTGCATATTCTCCCTGTGCCTGCGTGGGTTCTCTCTGGGTGCCCCATCTTTCTCCCACAGTCCAAAGACATGTAGCTTAGGTTGTTTGGAGACTCTAAATTGCCCATAGGAGTGAGTGTTTGTGGTTGTTTGTCTACATGTCAACCCTGTGATCGACTGGCGACCTGGTAGTGTACCCTGCTTCTCAGCCAGTGTCAGATGAGACAGGCTCCAGCCCCCCCGTGACCCTATTCAGGAATAGACGGTATACTGTAGATAATGGATGGATGGATATTTAAACAAGAAAATCCAAGTGGTTATACACAATGTACCAATAATGCTATGGGGTTGTATAGAGTAGTACTTAGGGGATTTTATGTGATCAGAAATGCATATTGATGACTGTCAGCAGCAAAGGAAATTTGTCTGTTTCTGTAGGTCTCTGCGGTAGCACACATGTTGAATCATTGCATACTAGCCAGTGAAAACTGTCCATCAGTATTATTCTCTTGTCAGTGTTGTCTAAGTTGTATAGAAAGATTAAATCTGTCAAGGAAATAATGACAGTAATATTATCAACAATATTATCAACATGTAAAATATTTTCAAATGAGAGCTCAAATATTAATGATCACTTGACATTGCAGATCCTGACTGAGGTTCCTATTCCAAAACCTGGATATAGGGGCTCAACAAATGTGGTCTCAAACCTGTGCAGGAGGGTCATGGTGTTACCTATGCTGTAAATAATAATGAAAATAATAAAGCTTTATTTATATAGCACTTTACAACTCCGGGGAGCACAAAGTGCTGCACAGTAGAACATGTGTATCAATGTATATCCATCCATCCATTTTCTTCCGCTTATCCGGGACCGGGTCGCGGGGGCAGCAGTCTAAGCAAAGATGCCCAGACTTCCCTCTCTCCAGACACTTCCTCCAGCTCCTCCGGGGGAATGCTGAGGCGTTCCCAGGCCAGCCAAGAGACATAGTCCCTCCAGCGTGTCCTGGGTCTTCCCTGGGTGGGACATGCCCGGAACACCTCCCTAGGAAGGCGCCCAGGAGGCATCCGAAACAGATGCCTGAGCCACCTCAGCTGGCTCCTCTCGATGTGGAGGAGCAGCGGTTCTACTCTGAGCTCCTCCTGGGTGACCGAGCTCCTCACCCTATCTCTAAGGGTGCTCAATCCATGTACATGTATTTTTTATATCGAGACCGTGGGACAACCAAGGACAAGTGCTCTGAGGAGTGCAGAGCTCTGAGGAGCTTTACGCGGAGCATAGATAGATAGCTGATCTGACAGGTACAGCGGAGCGAGGCCATATATAGCCTTAAAGACAAATAGCAACATCTTAAACTCAACTCTCCACTGTACTGGCAACCAGTGTAGTAAGAATAGAACGCGTAATGTGGGCATACCTGGGAGTGTTCGACAGCAGCTGAGCCGCAGCGTTTTGGACCAGTTGAAACTTCCGAAGCAAAGACTGAGAAATACCAACGTAGAGGGCATTACAGTAGTCTAGTCGTGAAGTGATAAAAGCGTGGATGGCTTTTTCTAAGTCTGCACGCGATAAGAAAGACTTCACCTTCGTTAAAAGCCTCAGGTGGAAAAAGCTGGTCTTAACCACAGCACCGATCTGCTTATCAAAATTTAAGCCGCTATCAAATATCACTCCAAGGTTTTTCACTGTATCTGTGAGTGAGGGGGCTGAAACACCTTAACTGGATACAACCGCGGCTGGATCGGGGCTAATAATATATTCAGTCTTGCTCTCATTTAAATGAAGGAAATTCTGGGCGAGCCATTGCTTAATATCACAAATGCAATTATGTAGCGGAGTAAGTGCGTTCAAATCGGATTGTTTCAGCGGCATGTAAATCTGAGTGTCATCCGCATAAAAATGAAAATCGAGTTTAGAAAGTAAAGCTGCATGGTCGACAGTGTCAAAAGCTGACAAATCTAAAAGAACTAGGGTGACGGGGCACTTGGCATCAAGGACCATGGTAATGTCATTATGGACCTTCAGTAGTGCAGACTCAGTACTATGGTGGGGCCTAAAGCCTGTCTGAAACTTGTCAGCAACATCCAGACGATCCAGGTGAGACTGCAACTGGGTAAGAACAATTTTTTCCATAACCTTAGATAAAAAAAGGAAGTAGGGAAATTGGGCAGAAGTTGGACGGAAGGGAAGGATCGAGGTTAGGTTGCTTGAAGAGTGGTCTTCACTACCGCATGCTTAAGGGCGGTGGTAACCAAGCCCGGCCTAAGGCAGCAGTTAATAAAAGTGACCAGAGAGGGCCCAACAGTGTCGATAGCCTCCTTGATAATCCTGGCTGGGACAGGGTCCAGAGGGGAGGAGGCAGACTTTAGCTGTAACACACATTTTTTTAAGTTGAGGCAGAGGGATCGGAATAAAGGAATCCAGAGTATGCAATGCATGAGATCCAGGCGATACATAAGGTGGTAGAGTCTTGGGAATGTTTTGTCTAATAGCCCAAATTTGTCAATGAAGTATCTCTGAAATTCATTGCAAATCAGAACCGACCCCTCAGTGGCCAAAGCAACATCAGAATTAATAACCGAGTTGATGGTTTTTTATAAAGAACTCTTGGATGTTGTTCGAAATAATATTAGATAAATATTGAGTTTTGGCATCTTTTACAGCTTTCTGATATGAGAGGAGGCTGTCCCTTAAAATGCCCAGGGAGACTGCAGGCCATCCTTCTTCCATTTACACTCCGCCTTCCTGCAACGTCTCCGCAGGGCGTGGGTGGTGTCCTTTAGCCAAGGGTCAGGAGTGTTTCTAGCCCTTCTCCTCCTAAAGGGAGCGACGGACTTCATAATCCGGGAGCAAGTAGAGTCAAATGAAGAGAGGAAGGCATCAGGGCACGCAGGAGGGTTCAGAGCTCCTGAAGAGTAAAACTCGGAGGCTAAAAAAGCAGCGGCAAAGTCCGGAGCTGTTGAGGGAGTAATAATCCTGCGGCGCTGGCAAGGGGCCATAGTTCTGGGTACACTTGTCGGTACCAGGACTTCGAAATGGATGAAGAAATGGTCAGAGATGGCTGAGTTTGATACATCCCCAATACACACAGACAGCCCCCATGTTGATGAGTGGGGCATAGTACCGACTGAGTGAGATAAAAGGAGTCCAACAGTGCGTTAAACTCGTTTGCTAGCTGGTCAGAAGAACAGTTGATGTGAATGTTAAAATCTCCACAAATCAGAAAACTGTCAAACTGGAATAAGCGCTGCCAAAAGTTCCCCAAATTCATTAATAAAATCCTTAGATTTAGCGGGGCGATATGTGAGTGCACATAAAATAGGGCGGTGCAGTGTTAGAATAAAAGTTTGTAGCTCAAAGCTAGAGTAGGCTTTGGAGGGGAGAAGGCGACATTTTAGGGTCGGCTTGAAAACAAATGCCAGGCCGCCACCTCTACCAACGAGGCATGGGGTGTTAAAGAATAAATAATCAGACGGTAGGAGCTCAGAAAAAAGACTGTAAAAAGTGAGCACACCTGCAGTATGGTCCAGATACACGCCTATCCTGGGGGAGTGGGGGCCACTGACAGCTTTGTCCACCCTGTTGTGCCAGGCAGAATACCCAGAGTCTGAACACAGGAGACCCCAGAATTTGTCATTGTAGCCCAGGAGGCACAGTGAGCCTTTGCCTTTTCGGCTGATGCTCTTGTAGGCCGCTCCAATGGAGAATTCGCCACTCCACTCTATCTCCCAGTAGAAGCGGCCTCCAGACAGGGACTCCCGGCACAGCACCTGGGCAAAGCTGTCAAACCGCTCTGGGCTGTCTCCATAGGGCTGCAGGTCCCCAGTAATATTATCAACAACTGCTAATATCACATTTTGCTTGATACATTTCTCTAGAAGCAAATTCTTTTTGTTTCCTCACAGGATGCTCTAAGGAATGGCCTGGTGGCCACTGAAGTTTTGATGTGGTTCTACATCGGCGAATGCATTGGCAAAGGAGGCATCATTGGCTATGGTGTCTGAATTTTGGACTGTTATGCTTGGTTTTCTTTAGTGGCATATGTTCACCTTTCTGCCAAAACCCTGGGAACCAATAAACAGATGTTTATTATTTAAGAAACGTATATTGTTGTATTCTGAGTCCTTGCTTATGTTATGTATTGGATTGTTATGCTTGCTTATATGTTGCCTGCAGGTTTATTACAAAATTTCTTTTTTAATGGACAGAAAGTGGGCACAAAGTAAAGGGATATGAATAATTTCTGAAGCCGTTTTTGGTGTAAATAATGAAACGAATGCATCAGTTTCAGGGGCTTGGTACTGTACATACATGTCTATTGTTAGTAACACTTGTTTTTACCATTACAAGTTAAAATGTCTTCTGTAAAAAGACCCATAGCTTAATGATGCCATTAGCATTAGAAAAACTAATGAAAATTAGTCTGCTGAGAAAAGCAGGAGATATATGAAGCAGCGAAGTGCTGCACTGTCATTTCTCATTTAACTTACTTCCCCATCTCTTTGTAATGGATTTGCACTTGTCTTGATCATGTTTGTGGAGTGAAAAGCAATCAAGATGTTCACACCCGAAGACAAATAAACATAATAAACTAGTTGTACCCATATGTCAGTGTGTATGAGCTGCTGTTTGGATGTCAGAGTAAAACAGTACAGTATATGTACTGTATACAGCATACTGTGTGTATACAGCATGTTCGTGACCTAATGTGGATTGGTGGAGAAACATCTGAAGCATTTAATTTAAATTTATCTAAAGCTAATGTCATATTTTTTCATATGATGCACCGTTGAAGATAGAGTCGGGACAGAATAGCACTGATGTTTTTTCAGCTATAGATTTAATAATATGCATTAGTCATGGTGACAATGGTCATTACATTTTTATTTCAGTCCAGTTCCTGTAATCAACCAACAGAGGGAGCAGTGAGTATTTATAGTGTTTAAATGGCATCATTCCTATTTATTTCATAGCAAGTGGCTTGCTGATTCACATATACATGTGATTATAAATGGGAAGTTTCATATACAAGTTCAATAATTTAAGCAGATGTTCAAATTCCACTTCTGTTAATACAGATGCTTTTGAAACTCTCTAGACTGCCATTGGTAAACACAGTAACAGCAATTAAGTAACACTATCCCCTCATTTATATCCATATAAAACAGCTCAAGACAATTAAGCAATGCAGATATAACACTGTATAGTCCAGTTCTTATGTAAAATAGATAAATAGTCTCAAAAATGCAAAAATCTATTAATTCGTTTAGCTCTATTTAGAACTATCGATGAATAATTTTGTTACAAAGCATTTTCTGGATAATTATACTCCGGTTTTCCATGATATAAGTACACATAACCAAATTAAATAATGGTTAGTTCAATAAAAAATACTTAACTGTTACATATCAAAAACATGAAATGAGAATGAAATATTCATCTGAATGTATTGACACCATAATACCTGTTAATGCACCAACATGAATGTCACTATTAATATGCAGACCTTTCATAAAAGTAAAATAGATTTTCAATTGAGCATGCAATAATATTGGCCAATAATCTATCAAAAGAACATGCACCTCACATTGTCTCAGGGTACATTCATTATGACACATTATTACATTTATCATTTAAAATATGTCCCACCCTTTCTGTAGCAGAAAATGGGTAAACCTATAAATGTAATGCTTTTGTATTATCTGTGGGAACATTTACAGATTCAGCCAAATGAGTGATATTTATCATATGGCACATGTTACTGTATAGTACTATCCAGCAGTTATTATAAGCTGCTAAAAGGGATAACACATTATATTCTTCTATAGTCCTTGTGTAAAAATTATGTATTTCTATAATATCTTGAATGTGGTTTGACAGTGCAAAATGAAATATATGGTGTGTAGAGTTAACAAAGATACACATTTGGAAGGAACATTGCTTCTTAAAAATATAAAATAAAACTTCACTTATGTGGTTTGGTACAAATTAACAAACGAATCCACATATTCCAAAAGCATTCCTGTATATTAAAAGAAACGCATAAAATATTAGCAGATTTTCAAATGAGAGCTCAAATATTAATGATCACTTGACATTGCAGATCCTGACTGAGGTTCCTATTCCAAAACCTGGATATAGGGGCTCAACAAATGTGGTCTCAAACCTGTGCAGGAGGGTCATGGTGTTACTTATGCTGTAAAAAGCGAGCACACCTGCAGTATGGTCCAGATACACGCCTATCCTGGGGGAGTGGGGGCCACTGACAGCTTTGTCCACCCTGTTGTGCCAGGCAGAATACCCAGAGTCTGAACACAGGAGACTCCAGGATTTGTCATTGTAGCCCAGGAGGCACAGTGAGCCTTTGCCTTTTCGGCTGATGCTCTTGTAGGCCGCTCCAATGGAGAATTCGCCACTCCACTCTATCTCCCAGTAGAAGCGGCCTCCAGACAGGGACTCCCGGCACAGCACCTGGGCAAAGCTGTCAAACCGCTCTGGGCTGTCTCCATAGGGCTGCAGGTCCCTGGTGCGGGTGACTTTTCTGCTGTTTTCAGAGATGCACAACTCCTTGTAGGCTGTGTTAGGGTCCAGTTTCAGCTGACAGAAGTCTGCAGGAATAAGAAGCAATACATTTTAGAAGAATTTTTTTTTTTTTTTTATTGGCAATTGTATTGTATTAGAGGTTATATTGTCATATGTCCCATTAAACCACCAGACACTCACATTTCAAAAAATCTGATCTGCTCCTTGGCTCTGGAGGAGGAGTGTTGTCCACAGTCATTTCTTTGGCTGTAGCTGAAGAAACACTAGGTTAGGTCAATGTGACCTGCACACACCCACACATGCCTTTGATTCTTTTGTTGGTTTGTTTTCCTGAATTTTTAACTGAAGACTGATGCAATTGCTTTGTGGTTTGCCTCCCGACATTTCTGGATGACTCCACTATCCACATAAATAATAACCCTCCACCTGTACAGTCCTACATTGCTATAGAACATAGCAGCACTCACCTCTGATCCTTCTGTCCAGTGTTCGACTTTCTGTAGTGTAGACTGGGACCTCATTCACTGTAAGACATAACACATTCATATTTAGCAAATTGATTTCTTTCCTGTTTTATTCCCATCCTGTACAAATATTGTGCTACTGTCGCAAGACCTGACTTGGAGATCCTAGCCAGCTCCTCTCTGCCAAACTCCTCGATATGTTCCTTGATCTCAGCCACAGCCTTCCTGACAGCCCCAAAGGAAAAGTCAGGGTTCACTGTCACTTTGGGTATGAAGCCATCATCAGTGGGGGTGCAGAGGTAGTTGAAGTTCTGATGGGAGAATAAAAGTGTTGTGATGAGGATGAATATTCATCAACATCAATTATCAATTTTTTTTTAAAAACCATTATGTATAGGAGAAATTTGTTGATCAAGAAGTCAAACATCGTATTCTCACAAATTTTTACATTGAAAACCACATGGAAATTTAAACATTTTAAAAACGGTCAGATAGTGACATTTGTGTGAATCCAAGTTTGTATTCATGATACTCTTTGCTACCCACCATTAACTTATTTAGAAATTCATATGTCCAATTGTCATAAGACTCAGTATGTCTCAATAGTGTCACTGTGAACATGGACTGTCTTATCAAAAACCACAGCCACATTCTTTCACTGTGAAATACTAACTCATATTTAGTCTAGATCAGAAAAAACAATCTGTGGTGACAATAACATAATATACAGTATTACTGCATCATTACACTGCCTTATACTATACACACCAATACTTATACTATACATACCATACTGCATCATTACACTGCCTTATACTATATTGGATGATAGCACCAAGTATCCTCGTCTAAAGTAAAACTGCAAAAAGTGTTACCTGCAAAAAGTGGATGTGGTCATCAGTGCTGTATAGCTGCTTGAGCCCGGACTCCTTTTTCTTCAGTTCATCAATCTCTTGTTCCAGTCGCTCAATCAAAGTCTCGGCCTGGTTGAAAGCAGCCTTCTCATTGATCCCAATCAGCTTAGTCACCTCAGCTCTCATCCTCTCAATGGAGCGGATCATGTCCTCAAACATCTTCTGGCTTTCCACCATGGCTCTCTGGGCCGAGTTCTGGACAGAACACTCAGCATGTCAGTGCTTTACAGAAGAAATTGCCATTGTGTTTTGATCTGTGACATAATCATGGTAGATATCTTATAGAAATGCCTTTCTTTTGTGTGAGCAACAAAGACAGTTGTTGGGTAGAACAATATATTGCAGACATGCAATATACCTTTAGTGAATCCACTGCAGTCTTCAGTTCCTCCAGCTCCTTCACTCTCTCCTGGAATTTTTGCCTAATCTCAGCTTGGGAGACTCCCAACAGTTTCTGCAGAATAAAGGAGTATTACACAGCAAATTGTGTCATGGTTTTCTTGCATGCGCTCCCATGCTCACAGCTGAACCTGCTTTTTTAAATGTCTTATGCAGTGTTACAATAGTTGATCATAAAAATTGCATCAAATAAAATGCAGATACTAAAATTGTTATTTTAAAGTATGAGATATAAAGCCTCATATTTGTTGGTTCAGTGCAAACATTCTTTCTCATCAAGCAATATCTCAGCAGGCCCTTAGACATGTCTAAATAACCCTACTCAAAGACTGAGCTTTTATCTCAGAGGGAGAGCGAGAAAAATCTGCAGTGGAATTCTGCCCATGACAGGAATGTGATTCTACTGCTACCTGACTTTTAAAGAGATGTTTCAAGGTGCGCTCAGCACTGACATGCAGAATAGAGGGCTTTTAATTCAGCTTTTACTCAAGCCCACAATCCTTTCTTCAAGATAAGCTTGAGGAATGTGGGGAATCTAGGGAGGGGGGATGAACATGAGAGGGGGAGGGGAGAGACCACAAGACATAAGACTCAGGTTGTAAATCTTTGAATGAGAGAAAGCAGACTCCCCTGCTTTAAAAATAACAGTAAAATGAATTATTACTTTATCATTCCCTAAAAATCATTTAGCTCATGGTTTTGGCTGCCATAAAAAGACTCCTCCTAAATCACTCCTACATGCTAGCTATCATGGGTCACAGTGAGGCAGATTTATGCTACAGTGTTAACTATTCTACATTGTTTTACAGGCAATCTAACTGGAGTATGCACTACCATGGTTACAACTCTCTGATTGGTCGATTGCAAGGCCTTGACTCTCTGACATTCCAGTATCACTGCAGACCCACTCTCACAGGTGGGAACCAGTGCAGCAGAAGGAAGTCTGCAGTTTCTGTGTATCTATCCCACATTCTGTGAAAAGCAGCTTTCAGATAAGTGTAAGAGACTCCCCTGGCCTCCATACGGCTAATCGGGGAGCTGGGTTTGTTTTGCCAGTGGGTACCAGCCAAGTTGATAGCACTGGTGAAATGGGTCAAAGTACAACCCGCAAGGATAGACAACTGGGAAAAAAACACCCTGCTTACTCCAAAGAATGGGTATTTCTGATTCGTGAAGGATGTGCCTGTTTTTTAAGTCTATCTCTCTCTCTTTCTAAAACTTTTAGAATTGAACTTGACTTGAAAGTGACATTTCAGATTGTGACTTTTTGACATAAGATCTCATTCTCTGAGGTGAACAATACTATTCTTGTGCCTTCGAGCATTTAGTCTAATGAAAGAAGTCATTAAAAGAGACAGGAGGGTTGCTTACCTGTTTCTCACCCCTCTCTGCCTCAGCAGAGACAATGTCATGGCCCCTGTGTTCGCTGACTGTGCAGATAGCACAGATACACATCTGGTCTGTTCGACAGAAAAGCTCCAGAGGTTTCTGGTGCTGCGGGCAGATCTTCCTGTCCAGGTTTCCCAGCTCATCCACCAGCTTGTGCCTTTTGAATGTGGCTGATTCATAATGAGGCTTCAGGTGCTTCTCGCAGTATGATGCCAGACAGTTCAAACAAGACTTCACAGCCTTTAATTTCTTCCCAGTACAGAAGTCACAAGGGACGTCACTTGGCCCGGCGTAAGTGTTCCCCAGAGATGTATTGGCATTGAGGTTCAGACCACTCTTCTTGATCTTCTCAGCCACCATGCTAAGAGTGGCGTTGGGCCTCAGCACAGGCCTCTGGGTGAATGTGATCTTACACTGGGGACAAATGTAAATCCCTGTGTAGTCAGCTTCATTCCAGTAGCTACTGATGCAGTCCATACAGAAACTGTGGCCACAGGGGATAGCCACAGGGTCCCTCAAAAGGTTCAGACACAAGGAGCAGCTGAAGTAATCTGGAGAATTGTGATCAGCCATCATAACAGACTCAGAACTCAGTCAGACCTGTGGAAACAGACAGAGAGAATGCCAGAAGCAGATGGAAACTCTGTCGAGTGTGCCTGGGAGCCCGCCCTCAAGTGTGGTACAGCCTGCCAGAGACAGGACGTACTTGTATTTCTGAATTCCAGAGGTTATTGATTGAAAGCAGACAAGGCCCTCCCCCAGTGCTGTGAGTATATCGAGCCCTGCCCAGTTTAGATAACCAGGTTCAGTAAGGAGGGAGAAGGTGACAAAGAAAGAGCATGGACAGCGAGAAAAGGAGAGAGTGAACAAACTGAATGAAAAGCCAAAGAAGTGACAAGAAATAATGTGCAAGGAAACACACCCATTTTCCCCGCAGTTTCCTTTATTCTCAATTTTCTCATGTGGCTCATCTGTGGATGAATTGCGCACACTTAGCAGCTGCATTTCCACCTATTGTTTTCAGACAGAATCGCCATTGTCTTAAACCGGTTATAGTTGGACAAACATTAATATAGTCTAAAGTACTGTAGGAATTTGAGGGACCACCCAATAAACAAACATAGACACTCTGAGCTCAAGTAACGTGTTGGAGTCATTCCAAATATTCCCTTGTTTTTTTACAAAAAAGTTGTTTAAAGGTTTATGCTGTAGGTGCACTGGACAGGAGCAGTTAGAATTAAGAGTTGTAGTATTTACACTTCAACCAGGTAAACCAGTCTGGTCACTTGTGCAAGTTCATTTGTACCTGTGGATATCTGTATCTGTTTGTGCAGCAGAAAGAAAATATCAGGGCTGAGACGCCAAATGGAAACACATGCACACACACACACAAAAGGAACATTCCTGTCAGTTGCAGGTGTGTTATTGCAATAGATGTTTGACATATTTGTGTTTGATCACAAGTTATGCTTCAGATCTTCATTCCTAAAGATGTCCCTGTTACTCAGTGTTCTTTAAAATCAGCTAGGGAAAAAAAACCGTCCGACTCTCTGCAACCTGGCCTCTCATTAGCAGTTCAGTTAGGCCGAATCCACAGGTTTCCACTAATACTCCTGCCCCATTCACAATATTTTTGATTTATCAGTCTGTTGCTCAGAATTACTGTGAAAGTCCAAACTATAAAGGAACTGTTGTTTGAAATAAAAGTTTTGGAATGTACTCTGTATGTCCTGATGCATCCAGAATCATGTAGTGTACATTGGCTCCGCCTTCAATTCATATCACACCTTACTTGACACACTAGGTAGTTTCACCTCTCCATATTTGGTCAGGTTTCTGGTAGGCCAGTATTTCCTTCCTTCCTCCGGACTAAAGGGAGCACTCTGTGCTTACAGATTAACTACCTCTTAGTGGAGAAGACTGCGACCAAGGGGTGAAACTGGGAATATGGCTTTGATCTATATGGAGTTCCTAATACATGATAGAAAAATGAAAACAGTGCATGTTTGTGTAACATGTCTATTGGTTAAATTAACATGAAGCATGATAAAGTTTAGAATAGAAGACACTTTAATGAAATTTAATAATCACATCTGGAGAAGACCAGCCCACCTATTACCAGCTCCTGTGTGCTTTGATGCAGCAGACAGAAACCCCACAGATAAGTTCAAGGTGAAAGGTCAGCCTTTCACCAGTGTGAGTGCAGGAGAGCACAAATGGCTGTCTGATCAAAGAAAACAAGGACCTGCTTCAATGAATGTGAGTAATGAAAACAGGAAGGAACAATATTTATTTTGGAAAAACAGTCAACCCTTTTGTTGCTGCTGGTAGATATACAGACGTTGAGAGTGCTAGAACAGACACAGGTCAAATATGAATGACAGGCTGCACACCATTAGTAAGCATTACTGTTGTCGTGGCAACTTCAGCCAAGATTTGAGAAGAAATTAATGTGTGATGAGTGTCTAAAAGAGTTGCATTCAGTGGAGAGGGTCTAAATAAATCCTGGGATAATCTCAAACTAGTGGGCCTGTATTTATGACAACAATAATTTAAAATACAATATAGCATAGTTAGATTGTGTGTATGCATAATTTGTTAAATAAACTGAACCTTCTAAATCAGATCAGATCCAAAATATCATGTAGAGTTCAGGAGAATCATGTTTGTGTTTTATAACACATGCTTTTAACTTGAGAGGGTCACATGTAAGGAGTGAATGATTGTTGTGTTTGCTCTTATAATTCAGTATAATAGAAAACAGATTAAGACATTTTCAGTAGGTGCAGAGGTTGAACAGGCACATTGTGTGTCCAGTGGCTCAGATACATCAACAAATACTTTAAGTGTAGTGTGTTGGCCAACAGGTTCTCCTTTCCCATAAAACTTCTATGTTTGTTTTATGAAAGCAAAGTCCATCTCCTGGCTGAAAAGGGGGTTAAAGGGCTTATTGGGATGGCAGAACAAAGTAGAAAAAAAATTACAAGAGGCCAAAAGGTAAAGAATAAAATTAGAAAGTAGGAGCTCTACTAGGAACTGAAAGCCAATTTAAATAAGTTAAATTAGCCTTAAACAAAACAATATCCAAAATCAGGCACAAGTAATGTTTTCCACAGTTTAGGGGCAGTATTGGCAAAGGCCCAGCCCCCTCATCTTTTGTACTTTGATCTTGAGACTTACAGTAAGCACTGATCAGCTGATCTAAGAGCTCTAGAACATCTACCGAAGCTCAGAAACTAAGTGAAATAAGGAGGAACCAAGCCATTTAGCTCCTTAAAAACAAACAATGGATGCTTAAAATCAGTCTTAAAATGAACAGGGAATCAGTGGAGAGAACATAAAACTGATGTAATGTGCTCATGTTTAGAGGTATGGGTTAAAAGTGAGCAGCTGCATTTTGCACTAACTGAAGGTGAAAAAGTAAGGACTGACCAAGTCCTACAGAAAGCACATTACAATAATCAAGCCTGGAACTAATAGAAGTATGAATAGCCTTCTCAAGGTCATGCACATTCAGAAAAGATTTAACTTTTGCAAGCATGCAAAGCTGGAGGAAACTGGTTTTTACCACTGCACCGATCTGCATCAATTTCAAATCACTGTCAATTTAACCTAAATTTTTCACTATGGGATGACAAGGCCTCAAAGTAGCCCCAATGACCGAGCTCATGCCCATCCAGTGGACGGATTCACCAAACAGTATATATTCAGTCTTACTTTCATTCAGATATAAAAAAAAAATTGTGTGCCAACCATGATTTTATTTTGTTTAAGCAGTCATAAAATGACTTCAAGAACTGACTTCCTTCCAGCCTCACAGGTAAATAAAACTGGATATCATCAGTATAGCAATGATAAGAGTGATTATATTTTTATATAAAAGACCCCAAAGGGTGCATATACTGTACATAGAGAATAAGATTGGGCCAAGAATTAAACCCTGAGGCACACCACAGGAAAGCTCAGCTCAAGAAGAGGAGTTACCACAAATCATCACAGAAAAGCTTCAGTTGTCTAAATACTATTTAAACTAATTTAAAACTGAGCCCTGAATGCCTACAACCTCAGTGAGAAAAGAAATTAAAATAGCATGGTCTACAGTGTCAAAACCAGTAAGATCCAGAAGTACCAGTAAAAAAGATTTTTGGTATCAACTGATAAAAAAATATAATTAAAAACTTTAAGCAATGTTGACTCTGTACTATGACGAGACCTGAAACCTGACTGAAATGTTGCTGGTAAGACTGCATTTTCATAGTATTCACGTACATGAGCAAAGAAGACAATGAACTCTGTAAAGTGACTCATTTTGACCATCTTCGTCCAACTGATATTTCTTTGTTGCATCACTGTTAGTCACTGTCAGTACAGATCTTGGGGTGAGACTTAGTTAATTCACATGCAAAATACTAAGGCCAGTGCTTAGCATTTATATGAATATTATGTGGTTCAAGGTCTTTTGAATAATTTGATTATTTAAAATTTAAAAACTGTAAACAGACTTGTTTATGAAAAGGATAAAAAGTGAAGAAAATTTAAATGTATGTTAACAGTTTTTACCATATTTTTGTCACTATAATGAGTCTCAATTAATGTTGCATCACTTGAAAATTATGGCCCTCATTTACTGTATGTGGAATAAGAACCTACATTTATTTTTCATGTCAGCTGTAGTTACTGTTGTTGACGGACAACAGATCCTAAGATGCCTGGCACTCTACTTAGGCCCTGCTGGCTCTAATACAATGGAATCTTTTAAGTAGGCTTTCTTGGCCCTCCTGTTATCTGGGCTATCAAGTGTAGTTGCATTCCAGTCTCTATTTCAACAGCCCTGAAACTCCTTGGCTGGGGGGGTGTGTTCACTGTAAACTGAAATATGCAGGGAAAGGTTTTGTATCTCAGAAGTGGAAGCAGTCTTATAAATACTGGAATCTAGTACATTTGGAAAATACAGGATAGGGTTACATTTGAGCTTATACCACCATATCTCAGTTTATAGAAGCTACAGGTAAAATCATGGTAATGAAAGTAAAAGAAGTTGATAATTAACTAGTTGTTGGTAAGGTGAAGGTCAGAATCTCACTGACTCAAGAAGACCAAACCAACTGAATTTAGCCAAAGTGAACAAAACAGTTAATTTGGGACCAAACAACTCTTCATCCACTGACAATACAGCAGATCACAGCTGGAAGCAGTCACTGGTGACTCTGAGACAGAAAAGGAGTTGTAGTATTATTATTATTTGTCAAAGTATAGAAGCTAATCTCTTCAGAGTAAGGCCAGGCTGTACTTTGACTTGTTTGAGTATCATTACAGGTCCAAAGGGAACGGTCTATCTCAAGGCAATCTCTAACACTCAGTAAATAGAATGCATGCAACAGTAGAGTACGGCACACTACACCTGTAGTTTCTTCTCACTGCACTGCTTCACTGAAGCATTGTTATACATACAAATACATACAGTTTTTTTAAGTATTGCTCTTTATGCTCTGTATTTCTTTGCTGCTCAAAATTGTGCAAAATGTTTAATGTCTGTCTACCGTAGATTGTCTTTTTGTTTTTCTTGGTGTCTATATGAAATTTTAAAAAAAGGAAGTGCATTTTTGCTTTCTTGTATCTCATGATCACAAATTTCTTTCATTCATTCTCCTTACATTCTCTAAAGGATGGAGGCATTTACTGTGTCCTTTCCTTGCCCCGCCCTTGTTTTACTGGTTTCAGTTTAACCAGTTTAGCCTTCCTCTCTGTTTACTCTATATAAATGTGCTCGTAATGCCTGTGAGATCATTTTGCCACAGTGCTGACACAAGTCACTGGCTGTTCCTGCAGGACTTCTCTGTATTAGAGGGAGCGGCACCAAATTGTCTCCATGTCATCTGACCAGGACAACTGCTACCTGTGTAAAGAATACTTCAGGGATCCTGTGTCCATCCCATGTGGCCATGTCTTCTGCTCTATTTGCCTGAAAACATACTGGGACCATGCTGACTACGCAGGTTCATACCTTTGCCCACAGTGCAAGGTCACCTACAACAAGAGGCCAACACCGAGACGCTTGGGAAGCTCGCGGCAGTCCACCCTCCAGCGCAACTCCGAACCCCTTCCACCTCCACCCCCATCCCCTGACTACAACTACGCAGGACCCCAGGATGTAGGCTGTGACATCTGCTTTGGCAAGAAGCAAAAAGCCATCAAGACCTGCCTAATGTGTCTGGCCTCCTACTGTGAGAAACACCTCAAACCTCACTATGAGTCATCCACTTTTAAAAGGCACAAGCTGGTGGATGAAATCGGGCACCTGGACAGGCAGATCTGTCCCCAGCATCAGAAGGGTCTGGAGCTGTTTTGTCGCACTGATCAGATGTGTATCTGTGTGCTGTGTACGGTGAAAGAACACAAAGGCCATGACCTAGTGTCTGCTGAGCAGGAGAGGGCTGACGAGCAGGTAGGCAACATTTTTATGAAGTGATAACACCAGTTTTCAGACTGTCACTGGCTTAGAAACAGGTGTACTAAGAATGCTAAAACGTGCTTTGCTCAACATGACAAGTATTCTTTAATGTAATGAAACTCTTATGAATCAGCGGTGACATATGTACATATATCCATTGAATCCAGACTGTACACATTGAGAGCCACTGTACCATTCCTCGTGTGTCCAACACACCTGGCCAATAAAGCTGATTCTGATATGTTGGCGCAACAGATACAGTGGCAGATAATGTATGAAAGAGCACCTTGCAAAAGATGAAACAAGCCCATAAATGAAAACCCCATTATCTGAGACGCACCCAAATGAAAATAAGGCTGCTACTTGCATGTACAGATTCCAGTTTCAGCATTGAGCTAATTAGATGATTTAGTTGCTTTGAGGTACTGACTTGATGAATTGCTGTAATCAGTATGAACAGTGTTTGTTTTGTTGTCCTCTTAGCAACGACTGGGTGCCACCCAGGCTGAGATCCAAGAGAAGATTCATGAGCGACTCAAGCAGATGGAGGAACTAAAACATGCAGTGGACTCACTCAAGGTCTGTGCCACCGTCATCCATTGTCCTGATAAGACCAGACTAACCACTATAGGTTGAATGGAAAATTAAATAAACTGCCATCCCAGACAACATTCTTTCACATAGGGGTTGAAGACAGCTGCCCTCAACGTGCTAGTAAAACCTGTGTGACTCCCAGTTGTTCCATTGCATACTTCTGTGTTTCCTGTGCAGAACTCAGCCCAGAGAGCACTGCAGGAATGTGAGAAAATGTTTGGTGACATGATGCGCACCATTGAGAGGATGCAGCAAGAGATGACCAAGCTGATCTCCACCAACAAAAGAGCGGCACTGAACAACGCAGAAGGTCACATGGAGCGTCTGACCAATGAGATCGCTGACCTGAGGAGGAGAGACAATGAGATCACCCAGCTGTCTCGCACTGAGGACCACATCCACTTCATCCAGGTAAGTGACAGATACAGAACAGAAACATTAAGATATATTCAATTGAATATGCAACTAGGCTCACAGTACACTACTGCCTCAAACCTGTCACCCTAGATAGGTCACTATTACATGGACAGCCTTATAAAATATCATATGTAAAACCTTTATAACATACAACCTCACTCTGTATTTCCTAGCTTTCATTTCTTCTCTGTGCATTTCAACACTGAGTGTGTACCAGTCAAATATAACCACTAACAGAAAATGTAACTAAACTAAAGGAAAACATAATCCTAATGCTTTGCTGTTTTTCCTCAACAGAGCTACCACATGCTGATAGCCCAGACAGAGGCTGAGGAGCTGCCCACAGTAACGGTGAACCCCTACTTTGACTTCAGCTCAGTCACTAAAGCCGTCTCTGAGATGAAGCAGCACTTGAATGAAATGAGCAACGAAGAACTGGTTAAGGTAGCCAAGACGGGTGAGTGTGGAGCCACCATCACACCTTGTAGCTCTAAATCACTGATTTCAGTCCTCTGATTGTACTGTACTAAGAATTACTACGTGACTACGTATTACCACTGTTACCATGTTAATGCTTTTTTTTTGCAGTTAACAAAATGACCTTATGTGAACTGGATGAAACTAAAAAGAGACGGTCAATAAAAAGTGAGTCAGCCATTCAAGAAAACTTTTCTAGTGCTGATTTTATGTTTGATTTGATTTGATTTGATTTATTTATTCTTTCAAACATGTAACAGCAGTCAGTATGTAATCACACATAATTCCAGACATGTCCACAAAAATATTTTCAATTTGCTTATACCTAGTACATGCTTGAATGGAGTAGGAAGAAGTTAGACTTATCTAGTCCTACCCCATGACATCATCTTA